AAATTCAGGTTTATCTTATTATGACTAAACAAATAATTGAAAAAAATCGTAAACCACTTTATAAAATCGACACGTGGAAAAAATGTTTAAAAAATTCTGTCTGTCAAAACATTTTCACATTTATTTTTATTTGACATTTTTTTGTGTCTATTTAATGATACTGATGAACTGATGATCTTGTGTATGTTTTTTATAATTATTTATAGTCCGGTCAAAATAAACATTTTAAATAACTAAAATTCCGACAGAGCTAAATTTTGGTGGAGATATTGAGTACACCATTAGGAATAAAGTGTCAAAAGTCCCCATCGATCCCATGTGTGCTAAAAAAGTTATTCGGGGTCAAAGGTCGAAATTTGACGTTTTTTAGATTTTTTTCGAAAACGGTAAGTTTTATCAAAAAAGTAGCCCAGACAAAAAATATAGATCTTGAAATTATCTACAAAATGGTCCTTATACTTTTTTTCTAACAATCACCATTCCTGAGATATCGCGATTCTAAAAGTTGAAGGAGTCACGTTCTACATGGTATGCATATACAGAGTGCGTCAGAACTCCCGCTTCAAAGACAAATGCCATGTAGGGTAAGGTACCACAAACATAGAAAAAATTAAAAAAAAAATCTATCTATAAAAGTTTCAAAGTTATGAGAGTTTAAATTTTGCACTTTGACTCTATTTATTTCTGTAGGGAAAATAATTTTCCAAGTTTTTTTGCTATAGGCCATTAGAAGAAGAAACAAAAAAGCTGTGTCCTAAATTGTAACTCTGTTCAATGTTATTTGTGGCTTTTATTGGCAAAACTTTTGTACCTTTACTAGATAATTGTAAAAAAACATATACAAAATCATCAGTATTATTAAATAGACATAAAAAATAGTCAAATGTCAAAAAACAAATGTCAAATTTTTTTGACAGATAAAATTTTTTAAACATTTTTTTTATGTTCCTGGTATCTTATTTTACTTGAAATTTTTCTTCTACTTCATTAAACTTATAAATATCTCGATTCCATTAGAATTAAAAAGAATTTATTTGGTAATACATACAGGTTGTTCAAAAAATCGCGCATTTCCTTGAAAGGGAGTAATTGGGTAGTCCCCAGAGTACTGAAAAAATGTTTAAAAAATTCTATCTGTCAAAAAATTTTGACATTTATTTTTTGACATTTGTCATTTTTTTATGTCTATTTAATAATACTGATGACCTTGTATATGTTTTTTTATAATTATTTGATAAAGGTACAAAAATTTTGTCAATAAAAGCTACAAATAATATTAAACAGAGTTACAACTTAGGATACAGCTTCTTTGTTTCCTTTTCTAATAACCTGTAGCAAAAAAACGTGGAAAATTATTTATCCTACAGAAATAAATAGAGTCAAAGTGCAAATTTAAACCCTCATAACTTCGAAATTTTTATAGATAATTTTTTTTAACATTTTTTGCATGTTCCTGGTATCTTACCTGACTGACCCTGTATATTTCAAATCCGTGTTTTCTACGACGATTTTTTCAAGATTTCGTTAAAATGTCAATTTTGTTTTTGTTTTGTCTCAAAAGTCGAAAATAAAAGACGACAGCGGATGCGGTTTTGACTAATATTATTTTTTGGACATAAAACGCACCTCCCTGTACATCTATTGGCACTAATTCAATACTGATTAAAGAGTTGAATGATTTTTTTCATTTTTAAATGAACAGTCTTAGTTGGGACAGCCTATAGTGGTAAAGAATCCGGAATGTGGCAAAAAATTCGATAAAAAAGCGTAATGCATGCGTCGGTATATAATTTTCTCGTAATTATTGTAATTAATGCATTAAAAGGCGCCCAATGAACGCGATTATACCGTATCGAGTTGATTATGTGTCGCTCAAAGTATGCATTACTAACACCAAATGCGTTATTATTTTTTGTGGTCTCATAAATGTACCGCTTATGTGCAATTTGTCGCATATAATAAATGTAATATGGGACAAGGAAAGCAATAAATAACGTCGTTTTCGATTTATTTATTGGCATCACGAGGGGAGGAGGCAAGCAAGGAAGAAAGGGAAGCGAGAAAATTAATGATTAGAGAGGAAACGTATGCCGTGCAACAATCAATTTAATTGGGGACTCGTACAGGTTCTGAATTAATCCAGGACCGGACAATCTCATTTAATTAAGGATAATAATTAATAAGTTGTTTACACGAAACCCTTTTCATTTATTGTAGTGGCGATTTTCAGGGTATTGATCAAGCCGTGAAACACTATTTTTACTCAATTCTTCAAATTTAGAGCAAAAACGACCATTAAATCCAAATTTTCCTATTTTTTTTACAAGGTTTCTTGCACAATAAAAAATACAGGAAATGACCTTCTTTAATCTTTACGAATGTGCAGTTGAATTTAAAAATTATTATACAGGGCGCTCAAAAAGTGGTACAATTGCGGACAATTCAAAAAATGTCAATTTTTTTTTAGTTTCGTTTTTCATATTTTACGTTTTTTTACATAAAGTCCGTTTTTTATTTATGCGTGTGGACCAATTAATAATTCGAAAGACGTACCAGATAGCTATCTCTTTTCAACATTTGTAAACAGCCTTGTGGCTCTCTCACTACGTATTTGCGTAAGGTCGGTCACGCTATTTATCTCACTTTAACAAATGCGATTAAAGTAACGCAGAGCTAGTGACGTACGTCAAAGGTCACGTAGGTCATTTGTAATTTGATTTTTAATGGGAAAAACTGTTTTGAGACTAATATTTATACAACAATCGTAATTCAAGCCTTAGAAAAATTCTAATGCCAGGGAAAAGCTTTAATTTTTGACTTTGGTACAAAGCTGTCAAATGTCAAAAACAGATGAAGGTCATGTTGTGTTCTTGATTCGCACTAGCCCCACCAGCAAATGAAAAAATAGACTGTATTTTATTATTCAACTTGCATAAACTCATTTGTCACAATGACATAGTTGTCAAAAAAATAAAACCGCCAAAATCAAGAGAAAAATTAACTTTTTAAGTTAGAATAATGAAATTTTTTTATATTTATTATAGATTTTTTTTCCCTTTGCAGTTTTGGCAACGTTTTTTCTTTTAAACTCAATCCGAAGATTTACTGTAGATTATAAGAAAAATTTTGAAAAAATTCTAAAGGTCATTCAATTCAAGTTTTCAAGTAATCGTTTCATATTATTGCAAAGGGCAATTAGGTACAAATTTTTGGAATTTTATCGAAATTATTTGGAAATATTGGAATTCTTTTTAAAAATTACGTTGAGTTAGAACTATTTTCTAATTACAAAATTAAGATGGGATTACAGAAATTAATTTGGAATTATAGAAATTAATGTGAAATAACGAAATTACGATGGATTGTTGGAATTTCGATGAAATTTTTTAAGAATTATTGGAATTTTTGTGGAATTAGAATTATTTCTGAAATTTTTTCAGGAATTATCAGAGATAATTACATTTCAAAATTATGTTAAATTTCTTAGAACTAATGTCGGAATTAGTTTGGCATTACAGGAATTGTTTTAGAATTATAAAAATTACGTTGGAATTACGAAAACTAAATTAAAATTATAGGAATTAATATGCATAAACTCATTTGTCACAATGACATAGTTGTCAAAAAAATAAAACCGCCAATGTGATGGAATTTAAATGCCGAGAAAAATATCTAATTACTTATATCAAAGTCTAAAATCAAGAGAAAAATGAAATTTTTTGAGTCAGAATAATGAAATTTTTTTATATTTATTATAGATTTTTTTTCCTTTGCAGTTTTGGCAACGTTTTTTCTTTTAAACTTAATCCGGAGATTTACAGTAGATTATAAAAAAAAAATGAAAAAATTCTTAAGGTCATTCAATTCAAGTTTTCAAGTAATCGTTTCATATTATTGAAAAGAGCAATTAGGTACCTACAAATTTTTGGAATTTCATCGAAATTATTTGGAAATATTGGAACTCTTTTTAAAAATTACGTTGAGTTAGAACTATTTTCTAATTACAAAATTAAGTTGGAATTGCAGAAATAATTTGGAATTATAGAAATTAATCTGAAATAACGAAATTACGATGGATTGTTGCAATTTCGATGAAATTTTTAAGAATTATTGGAATTTTTGTGGAATTATTTCTGAAATTCTCTCAGAGATAATTACTTTTCAAAATTATGTTAAATTTCTTAGAACTGAGTTAGTTTGGCATTACAGTAATTATTTTAGAATTATAAAAATTACGTTGGAATTACGAAAACTAAATTAAAATTATAGGAATTAATTTGGAATTAGAAGTATTAATCTGAAAACAATGAAATTACGATGAATTATTGGAACCTCAGTAATTTTTTTTGGAATCACTGGAATTTTTTTTAACAATTTCCATTTGCAGATATGACAACACTGTGTATTAATTTTAACTGGTGTCATGGTAACAATGTTTATTTCAGAGGAAACTGTCACTGAGGTTTCAAGAATGATTAATTTTTATTGTTGTTCAATTAGGCAACGTTGCCACATACGTTTTTGACTCTTAATATGTAAGCATTTGTGTTGGTGCGCCACTTTTTGAGCACCTGTATCTGTTTGCGTAACATTTTTCTTTCTCTGTGGAAATTGCGAAACACAAATTTAGTTATTTTAAGTTATTTGAAATCCAGTGAGTCGTAAATTACCATAACTGGCTTAAGTGTCCATTTCGATGTGCTTCTGATCGGTAGCAAGCAGAATAAAATTTGAAATAAAGGCTTGAAATTGAGAATTATTTGCGAGTTATTCTTGGAAGTTGTTGAATTTTGACTAGACTGAAGACAATGAGGAAGGTCAAAGCGCAGAGTAGCGGCGGCCTTCATTATGTAACAAAATCGATTTTTAAAATTCAAAATCGTTTACAATTCTCGATGGAGGTCAAAGCGCGTTTCCGCATCTGCGGTGACCTTATTGGTGACAAAAGATACCGAATCAGCGCACAACAATTCTTATCAATGTGTAAAAAATCGACTCACGTCTCCTAGCAACTGAGTCCCACGTGGAGTTTTTCCAGCACTCACTGATCGAAGGTAACAACAGCTGATCTTTCACGGTTACCTAGCGATAATAGGACTACGCGGGACATTTCGTCGCGATCGCAGTTGGCCGTGTGCGTACAACATCGCAGGCGGCGAGCGATCCGCGACTTGGAGAAAGTTTTGCGCAAGGGATGCCAACACAAACTTTGAAACGTTTATTAGAAATAATAGAAACAAGTTTCACCGATGCGAAACACAAATCAACTGAACATTCGGAAATATTATTATGGTAAAAACAACAACAGTCTTTTACATGGCATGAAACTTAAGAAAGTTGAAATTCCTATTGGTGCGACGGCCCCGGATGATTTGCGAAATAACTAGGAGAGTTGCTGACGAAATTATTCATGAAAAAATTTGGAGTGTATCCCAGACTAGCACCCATGTTGTTGTTTTCGAGCCCGACATATTGGGCGACGGGCTGGTGGTAGTGGCCCAGGTTGGGTGGGGGCACCGATGGGTCGAAAATGGGCACCGCTGTGTGGATGTTGGGCGCTTGCGGACGTTTCGATTTTGCTTTATGCACACGCGCCTGTTTATACGAATCCATGTATTTGTTGAATTTCGTATTGAGGATGTTTTTTCGATTCATCGTCGTCTCGAATTTCTTGTAATTGTCGCTACTGTGGGTGCGTTTGAGGTGGGGACTCAACTTCTTATTACCAAACCGATGGTAACACTCGTTTTCGTCGTCGGAATAATCGGCGAACTCGGGGGGGACTTCCGTATCGTCCATCCAGGAGGCGTCACTCCCTCTCATTCTATATTGAAAATTATTTTTAATTTTTTTGTTAATAATCGATTTTGATGTGACTCACTTGAGCAGTTGTTGCAAGAAAACATACTGTGTGTGTTTACTTGTAGGTGCGGAATAGACTTTTGTTCCAATTTCAATTTGTAAATTTTTTATATCTTCAACTGAATTGAATCGAATGGCGTAGATGGGCGAAGTGACTTGACCCAAAACATCAAAAACAAAACCTAAAGGCCGCTTGCCGTTGTCGAGGAAGAGGAGGGTGTCCAAATCGTACGCTGGGGTGTTGGGAAGGGCCGCGATAGTCACTGGAAAAAAATAAACAATTTGGTATTAACTTTCATAAACAAAACTCAGAATAATTCTTTTTTTCTCAAATTGGCAACTATTTGAACATTTTTTTCGATAAAATGTAGACGGTTGTAATTCTTAGAATACAGCCTTTGTAACAAAGGTTGCTATTTGAAATAAATATTTTGCAGATCTCAAAAATAAAAATTTAGTTTCTCAAAAAATAAGTACAACAAAATTTAAACAAAAAATTTTCCAATAAAACTGACAAAAAATCCAATTTGTAATTCAAAAAAATATTTCTGATACATTGATTGATTACTAAAGTGATTACAAAACTGACCTAGAAGGATTATTTCACGTACATAAAACACTTTAATAATTCAAAAAAAAACACTATCGCCAAAACTAATTTCAAATTTGTGATCATAAAATTTTGCACAAGAGACCTTTTTATATTTTTATTCACAATAACTATAGCAATTCCCGATCTTCTGCAGGTCGGGAAATTTGTTATTACATCCCGTGGCCGGAAAGTAATTTCTGAAGAATGACCAAGGTGAGGAGACCAAATGTCAAAAACTCAATTTGTTTCAATAGTAACTATGTCATTGCATCAACTTCAACAAAACAGCACATATTTTATTATTTAAAAAATGTGATTGTGAATAAAGTAGTATACTTCGGTGGAAATGTCATTACCACTTGTAATAATATTATTTAAAATAAATGATTTTTCAAAGATTTGTAGGTTGTCCAATATTTTTTTTGTATGACTTTTCGACAATGTAAAAAATTTAGACATAAAACTATGAAAAATTTCTTTATATGCTATATGCTTACACATGTAAATAAAAATAATTAAAAAATCATATCTGTTAAAATTTCTGGCAAAAAACGTATCCAAAAAATAGATATGGCAAACTTTTTTAAAAATTCAAAAACTGCTAGATTCTAAAAATAGATGCAAAAAAAATATATATATTTAAAGTAAAATATGAAAACTTGAGAAAATAATTAAATTGAAACAAAATAAATAAACAAAATACCTAACTAATATGACCTCAAGATTTTTCCAACATTTTTCTTATAATCTGCTCAACAGGGTACAGTTAGGAACAGGGAATTTCGAAAACAACTTTTCTGTCAATACAAAAATTTCTGGTCTAAACCATTCTTTAATGTCACCATGACATATTTAAAAGGCAGAATGACAAGTAAATGTCGATCTCTCTGTGAGGTTAATAGATTGACTGTCCTGTCCGAAATTCCGTGTCCCTAATTGTACCCGAGTTAGTGCGACACTTTTTGAGCGCAATCCTTCAGCAATTTTATTTCAAATTTCGACTAATATTTTCAAAACTTTTTAATGCAGATTTGAAAATAAAAAAACAAAATTAAGCTGCTGATATAACGGGTGTTTTTTTTTAATTTTGCATCCATCAAAATAATACCTCACCGGGCGTAATTAAAAATTGTGGTTCGTTCACAACACATTAATATCAACGCCAACTATGACGCCAAATTTCAATAAACACCCGTTATATTTGTTAATAAATAAATAAAAAATCAAACTAAAATATTTACTTTGGTAAAAATTTAGTCGCAGATCTAGAAACCTTGGAACTATTTTACGTAAAACACTGACTAATGTTTTATAAAATTATTTTTTCTTAGAATGTCAAAACTGGTTTGCTAATTTCAAATTTATCATCATACAGAGTGCGCCAGAACTCGCGCCCCAGAGGAAAAAAACATGTAAGGTAAGATACCAAGAACAAGGAAAAAATGTTAGAAAATTTTTATTTAAAAACATTTCGAATATTTTGGCAAAATAACTTTCTAAGTTTTTTGCTACAGGCTATTAGAAGAAAAAACAAGAAAGTTTTATCCTAAATTGTAACTCTTGTTTAATGTTATTTGTGGCTTTTATTGGCAAAATTTTTGTATCTTTACCAAATAATTATAAAAAAAACACATACAAGGTCATCAGTATCATTAAACAGACATAAAAAATGTCAAATGTCAAAGTTTTTGACAAATAGAATTTTTAAACATTTTTTCCATGTTCCTGGAATCTTATCTTATTGAAATTTTTCTCTGGGGCTATGTATAACTCACATTTTAAAATTTTTACTTATAACGTAACCATTTGTAGTTTAAAACTTTAGAATTCCCGGTAAAAAAGTTAGTTCTACGCCCATCAAGGTCTGATAATTTGATAAGTTTGTTAAGTTACTTGATAACTTTTCTTATTTACTATGAGCTTTGCATTGTTAATAATTCAGAATGATAAAAATTGCGTCACGATGAATACCTAATTTATCCACAATTCCAAAAACATTGCCCATATGAACAAAGCTTTCATTTTCTACGTTAATCTGAAGCGTTGACAAGTCTGGAACTGGGGGCAAATGTTCAATCCCTAGTTCATCATTCACTTTAGGTTGGCTTTTCTTAATAGCTCCTCTATTTTGAGGAGTTGTTTGAGTGGGTTGTGGGTCATCTTCCCGGTCCCCTCCCGTTTCGCTATCCTCCTCATCTTCTGACGACGAAGATGAGGAACTTGACGACTCCTCTGACCCATCCTGTGCCCGCCAGTTGAGATTAAGCCTCATCATCTCCGAAGAGGAACTCGAATCGCTGTCATAGGCTAAAAGGCGATCCAATGCTTCAGATTCGATGTTTTTTATTGCAACGCCCGTGTTTTTCTCAAGATTTGCATCACACACTACAAAAGGCTTGTGGTAATTGTAGTTAAAAACAAACATTTACTGTTACCAGTGGTGGAATTTTCGTTTTTCGTAGAAGGTAAATTCGTTGGGTTTTCTCCTTGTTGGTTGTCCATGTTTTCGCACTTATTTTCGTTTGACATGTTGTGAGGTGATAAGAGATGATCGAAATTTAACGCAAACTAACAATTAATCACTGTTTTGGTAAGAAATACTGCGAACATTTAAGCGGAATTGGTAATTTTACTGCCATGTGGATGTTCTCATGTTTGCTAGCCGCCATTTGCAGATGGAAACTTTTAGCACGTGACCGAAAGGCTGGCTCGCGATTGGACGAAATTTAACGTCGTTAAAGGTGCGCTCACAAGACACTTCGTTACTAGTAGGCAACACACTATACAATTTGAAATTTTTATATTTTAAGTTTTAATCTCGCTGTAGGTGTCTTGTTTTTGAATAATAGTAAATAAAAAATACAGTTTCTTACAACAAACTTTTAATTATGAATTTTTCGTAACCTAATGTCGTAACCTGAACCTGAAATATACAACTAATAATCAAAGTTTTTTTAAACGGTTTTTGAAAAATTTTCTAACGTAGAATGATATCAGAATTACAAATTCGTAATTAGATTTTGTTTATAATGATCAGCTTTATATAGGCCGCTTTTTGATTCAAATTTAATTTGTTTGATTTTTACAATTTTTTCAAGAATTGAAGGAAATCAAGTGTTTCTAACGTAAACACGGAGATTACAAAAATGCTTTTTGAGTTTGTTTAATCAGTTTTTAAGACCAATTTTTGTAGTTTTTTTTGGGTCAACCTTAATTTATGCAAAGCTTTTTTATATTTTTTTTGAAAAGCGCATAGGAAAATTGAAGAAAAACAGGTGTACCTACCATAAAATAACACGATTTTGTACTCAGATTTTATGAAAAATAATTTGTTTTGAAATATAGACCAATATTTGTTTTTTTCAAACTTTACTTGTGCAAATCTTTTCCAATTTTCTTCAAAATCCCATAAGATAATCAAAGAAAAACAAACGTTTCCAACGTAAAATGATACAAAAACCACAAATCTGTGCTTAAAATTTATATCTATTGGAGATATGCTCGTAGATCGGTTTTTAATCGATTTTTTCAAGTCATCTTAATTTGTGCGATACTTTTTCAATTTTCTTAAAAATTGCATAAGAATATGAAAGGAATAAAAGTGCTTTCAACGTTTCGAAAACTGCAAGTTTTCACTTGGATTTTATGAAAAATGGTCAATTTTTGAGATGTAAACCGATTTTTGTTTCGTCAACCCTGACTTATGCAAAATTTTTCCAATTTTCTTCAATAATTGCATAAGGTAATCAAAGGAAAACAAAAGTTTCCAACGTAAAATGATACAAAGATTACAAATCTGTGCTTAAAATTTCATGAGAGAAACTAAGTAAAAAAAGTTTCCAACGTAAAACGTCACGAGAATTAGGAATTTTTACTCGGATTTTGAAAAAACTTATTAGTTTTGAGATATAGACCGATTTTTGTTTTTTTTTTGTTAATTCTAAATTGTGCAAAACTTTTAAAAATTTTTTCAAAACTGAATTAGGCAATCAAGCAAAAACGAATACTTTCAACGTAAAAATCGTAAAATGATATAAAGATTACAAATCTGTAAAATTCATATGCATGAATTAGTTTTTGAGATTTAGACCGATTTTTTAATCGATTTTTTCAAGACAAATTTAATTTTTGCGACACTTTTTCTATTTTCTTAAAAACTGAATAAAAAAATTAAAGTAAAAAAGTGTTTTTAATGTAAAACGTCACAAGAATTACAAATTTGCACTCGGATTTTGTAAAAAATAATCACTTTTTGAGGTATAGACCGATTTTTTTTGTCAGCCTCAAATTGTGAAAAACTTTTCCAATTTTTTTCAAAACTGCGTAAAGCAATCAAGAAAAACAAATGTTTCCAATGTTAAATGATACAAAGCTAAGAAATCTGAGCTTTACATGAATGAATTAGTTTTTGAGATTTAGACCAATTTTTGATAGATTTTTTTCAACTTTTTTCCATTTGGCGATACTTTTCAATTTTCTTAAAAAGTTTATAAGAAAATTAAAGTAAAAGAAGTGTTTCTTACATAAATCGTCACGAGGTTTACGAATTTGCAGTAGGATTTTGTAAAAAATGATGTTTTTGAGATATAGACCGATTTTTGATCGACTCTTCCAAGTCAAACTTAATTTGTGCGACATTTCATAAGAAAATGAGAGGAAAAAAGTGTTTCTTACGTAAAATTACACGAGGATTACGAATCTGTTCTCAAATTTTGTATGCAATGCTTCATTTTTGACATATTTGGGGATTGCTTGTCGCTTATACTTTTTTGAAGCAGACAAAAGACTACAATTTTATAATAAAAAGAGACGCATTTATGTGCGCATGCGTATTTGCTAATGCTTTTTCTCTGATTTCTTCGATTTTCTTTGATGATTTTCCTCTTGTAATTTTATATAACGTACCAAATCCGGTTTGTCAATGTATAAAGAGGATGTTTTTAAACAATTCTTGAAATTTGCAAGCATTCCGCCAACGTGAATTATGTGTCTAAATATTTGTAATGATTATTTTCTCGACAAATAGATAACAAGTCATACATTTTAGCATATCTAACATTTGAAATATTTTGACGCAACTAAAATCATTTGAGCATTTCTTGCTTATTTATTGCAAAGTATCTAAGTGGGGAACAGGTTTTGTTCAACTAACCCATTGTTCAGTATATCCAACTTAAAATTCAGTCCACGATGAAGTCGCCTAAGTCAGTGTTATAGGAAGTTGGTACGACGAACCTCTTTATCCAGATCCGGCCTCGATCCATTTCCATATGAGTTTCATACAAAACCACCCAACCACACAATATATTCGAATAAAATTTAATGAATTTGCGGTATCTCGAACGGTAGCGGAGGCCGATTGTGAAACTTATTTGTTTAACATACGTGTTCTAATGGTTTTAGCCAACAGACGTGCTAAATTCTTGAGTTTTGACTATAAAAGTGATTTGATGTGCAGTGAAATGGACGAATTTTCATGAGTAAGTCTTCTTCGCAGTGTTGCCAGATTAAAAACATAAAATTTACCAGATCCGAGTTGAAAAATTTGCCAAATTTTCACCAAATTATGATCTGTATTGCAAAATCTCACGAAAAACACAGTTTTCAAAAATGATATGCTTTTCGGCCTAATTCTGTGACTGTTTTCTACAAAATTTTGCGAAATAATTGTGTTTCTACTTGAGAAACGTGCTAAAACGCTCGAGAAATGCAAAAGTAGGTAATGTAATTTCTTGATTATTTAGTTTGTTTTAGTGAAATCTAGCGAGAAACCTGAGATTTTAGTACAAAAACGTGCTTAATAACATTTTCGGCCAAATTTTGTGGTTTCTCGGCTTATTTTTGCTCAAAAACATTAAATTGAGTGAAACATAGATTTTTAGGCGCGTTTGGATAAGATTTTGCGAAATAAATAAACCTCTGGTTCAGTAAATTGGGAGAAACAAGCTAAAAAATTATGTACAATTTAGATTTAATTTTGTAATTTTGTAGCTTGTTTCAATGCAATATTTTGACTTTTTGTGTTTTTATCTTTCAAAAACATCTTTACACACTCGAAAAAGAAAAAAAACGCCGTTTTTGGGCTATTTTGTTGAATTTGTGGCTTGTTTTTGACAAAATTCTGCAAAATAATTGTATTTTTAACTGAAAAAGCATTCAAAAAAACTAAAGCAAGTTGAAATTTTTGATTCTGTTTAGTAATATCTTGTAAAAAAAAATAGAACAATTTTTAACCAATTTGGTGGTTTTCGATTGTTTTATCTTGGAGATTTGACGAAATAATCAAGTTAAAGTTTCAGAGTTAGGTAAAAATATCAAAATATAATCTTTTTTATAACAATTTAGTGATTTTTGACACGCTATGGCAAATTTCCGAGAAAGAATCGTGTTTTTAGCCTAAAAATCTGCTTGAACTTTCGAAAAAGGAAAAAATTTTTTGGCTTGTTTGTCGATTTTGCTAAATAATTCCGTTTCTAGCTAAAAAACATGCTAAATTTTTCAAGAAATGCAAAATTAATGTATCTTTTGACTTAATATGTTAATTTTTCAGTAAGTTTTAACAGAATCTCACAAAAAAATTGAGATTGTTCGATAAAAACGTGCTTAAAAACATTCTCGGCTTATTTTTGTCTTATTTTACTCAAAAACTAGTTAGTAATAATCCATTGAAACAAACAAAATAACATTAAAATCAATTGTTTTTAAGATTTTGAACAAGATTTTGCAAAATAAATGAACCTCTGGTTCAGAAACGTTATATCATTTTTGGCATAATTCCGTTTCTACCTGAAAAACATTCTAAATCTTTTACGAAATGCAAAATTAATGTAATTTTCGACTAATATGTTGATTTTTCAGCAAAATCTCGCCAAAAATGTTGAGATTATAGTATACAAAATCAGTTAAATCGAATGAAACAAACAAAGTATCATCAATATCAATATCAATTGTTTTTGAGATTTTGAAGCGTGTTTGGACAAGATTTTGCAAAATAAATGAGCTTCTGGTTTAAAAACGAAGTAAGTCAAGCGAAACAAGCTCAATTTCGATTTAATTTTGTATTTTTTTGCCTGCTTTAACGAAATTTTTAGAATTTCCTTTGTTTTTATCTCAAAACCGTGCTTAAACACTTGAAAAGGGCAAAAACAACGCCGTTTTTGGCCGAATTTGCTGAATTTTTGGATTGTTTTTAACGAAATTGTGCGATATAATTATGTTCCTAGCTGAAAGAGTATTCAGAAAAGAGAAAAATAAATTGTCTTGTAAAAAAGAAACAGAACTATTTTTAACCAATTTGATGTTTTTTCGAGTTTTTTGACAAAACTTAACGAAACAATCAAGTTTCTGGTTGAAAACGTGAAAAATGCTCGAAAAACAAGAAATTACCAGAGAATTATTACAAAAGTTTTTACCAAATCACCAGACTAACATGAACATTATCTGATCTGGTGAAATTCCACCACACCTGGCAACACTGCTTTTTCGAATTGTAAAGTCGCCACAGTTTGCTTTTCCAGGATGACCAACAATGCGGATTTTCGTACTAATCGCATGTTTGGCCTCGATGATTTCTTCTGAAAATTACTGTCCACCAATTTGGCAAAAACCAACTATGGTGCAGATGAACGAAACTGGGTCGATTTTGCTCGGAGAAGACGAATTTAGCGGTTGCGAATGTCGGGCATTTCCAGCCAGTTACTCGTTTTGCTACGGCCGACTCAACTGTCGCACATTTCCCAAAAACATCACAATTTCAACCAAAGCCTTTTGGTTGAAAGCCTCTCGAATTCCCGAAATCAAACCAGGGGATTTGGCCAGCTTAACACACTTGGAAATCTTAATGATCGAAGGGAATTACAACCTGACTCGTATTTTAACTGGGAGTTTCACCAACATGACAAAACTTTACAAACTGGACATTTCATTCAACTCAAATTTGAAAATTTTGCAACCCGGGTGTTTCAACGGACTGTCCAACCTGAAACACTTGCTACTTGTGAACAACGCCTTCACCAAAGTGGCCCAAATAACACCAGTTTTGACCAATTTACCCCAATTACAGAAACTGGATTTGAGCGAGAATCAGTTTAACACAATCGAAAAAGACGATTTTGGGGTTTTGGGAAATTTGCACGAACTGAATATGGTTTTGTGCCAAATTGAAAACATCGAAGCTTCGGCTTTCACACATTTGAGGAATCTCACAATTTTGAGACTTGGAGAAAACAGCTTGAATATCTCAAGTCTAGCCAAAGCGATTGAAAACACGACTCTTAAATCACTCAATTTGTACTCAATCGGTTTGAAGAAAAATAACTCGAGACAGTTATTTGATACCATAGCGAAAACCAACATCAGTTTTTTGTCTCTTGCCAAAAACCAGTTCGAGGCGATTAACTCCGAGACGTTTCCGCTGATGCCCAAAATACAAACTCTGGATTTACGAGAAGTCCTAGCTTTGAATATCACCAACAACGCTTTTCTTGGGCTACCAAACCTAAAAACGCTACTTTTGAGCGGGAATAAGTTAAATTCGATTCCTGATGGTGTCCTCTTGGAACAATTATCCTGTCTGGATGTGAAACAAAACTCTGGAAATGTCAACAAACACTCGTATTTCTCCCTCTTTGGGGAGAAGTTCAACCACATGAGGAATCTCCTCCAACTCGATTTGAGTTTCAACACAATCCAGGCAATTTACAACTCGAGTTTTGCAGGTCTGGAAAATCTGAAAGTTTTGGGGTTAAAAAGCGCAACAATCCATCGGATTTCCAATATCAGTTTTGCCAACTTGTCAAAATTAATAGTGCTAAACCTTGAAAATAACCCATTTGTTGTAAACCATCCCATGACACTGGAAAGTGGGATTTTTGACGGTTTGGGCGACTTGGAAGTGCTTCTTTTGGGTGGATGTGGCATCAAATTTGTCACAAATGCGTTCAAAAATTTAAAAAAATTAATTCATTTAGGTTTGGAGAAAAATAAATTGACAACTTTGCCGAATTTTGAAACTCTAGTCAAGTTACAAACACTTGACTTGTCTCAGAATTATTTAAAACCGTGGTTTGACCCGATTTTTGCGAATAACAACTTGAAAGATGTGAGTCTTAGTGGCAATAAAATAACGTATTTAACTCCTGCAATGATCAATGATTTGAGTAATTTATCTAGTCTAGAACTTGCTGAAAATCCCTTCACTTGTGATTGTAGTTTTTTATGGGATGATCCCAAAATCATGAAACTGATCGCTAATCAAGCAATTTTTTGCTTTTTTCCTGATTCTACCACCGGTTTAACATTAAATGAGTTCCTAAGTGACAAACCCGACTGTCACAATTTGTTAATTTTAGTATTACCAACAATTTTCCTCCTTTTGTTTTTACTTAGTTTTGTTTTTGTTTTGTATTATTTTCGGTGGCACTTGAGATACTGGCTTTTTCTCACTCGTCTCCACTTGAGCCGAAATCACAAAATCAGACGAAGTGTCAAAGGTCACGTTAATTGCATTTACGACGCTTTTGTTTCGTACAGTAGTGAGGACCGAAATTTCGTAATTCGTTTAGTGACAATGCTTGAAAACTACCCTCCTTATATCAAACTCTGTGTCTATGAGCGAGACTTTGAAGTGGGTACAATGATTTCGGAAAATGTGTTAGAAAGTGTTGCGAAAAGTCGCAAAACTCTACTGTTGATCAGTAATTCGTATGCCAAGTCGCAGTGGTGTCGTTGGGAGAGTCAGATTGCTGAACATCATCGACTTTTCTTTCAAGATGAGAATGGACAATATGTTGATGATAGTCTGATTTTGGTCAAGTTGGGGCCGGTGAATGAGACTTACATGACTCCGACTTTGAAGTATTTGCTTAAAACTAGAATTTATCTCCAGTGGGATGAAGATGAGAAGAAGCAGAAGGTTTTTTGGGAGAAGTTGAGAGCTGCCTTGGCGCCGCCGGTGGAAATCAACGAAAACACCTATTTGTAATGCCTATTTTAAATAAAGATTTAAGTATTGTTGTTTTCCAGTGTTTGAACTTAAAGTAATGTTTTATTACCTATTAGTTATTTTAAAAATTCTCTAGTTTATATTTAACTTAAAAATTAGAGGGAAAAGGAAAATTGTTAAAATCAGTGTGTTTTAAGTTTAAGCTAAGAATATTTTTTTCTATTATTTATTTTTTCTTTTTATGTTTTTTGAAATATATTTTGGACATTTTTGAATTTATCAGCAATTTTCCCTATAAACATTTCTCGTTGGACACTGATCTTTTTTTGTATATTAAATAGATAGTTTAAAGCAGATTTTGATGTTTATTTGCTTTTTGCCTTAAGTCCGATAGTTTCGTAGAAAAACGCATTTAAATTTTCATAATTTTGACAAGTTTTATTTTGTGAACTACGAACACGGCCAAACTATTAGATTTAGAGCAAAAAGGAAATCATTACTGTAATCATCATAAAAAAAACAATCGATTGGCGCGATAAAATTTCAATTTTAAGTTTCAAGGTTACTGTCGAATTAATCTTTTGCTATTTTTGTCTTTACCAGCGATTTTCTCAATAACTATTCATCGCAGAACTATGATAATTTTTTATAAGATAGGAAATTAAAAGTGATTTCCAACGATACTAAATATAAGACAGATATCAAAAAATGTAATGTTATTAGCTGATATTTGCTCCGGGTACTGAAAATCGCCAAAAATTTTGACAAAAATCGAAAAAGTAGAAATCTTTAAAATTCAACCAAATGCACTCCAAGGGGTTTAAGAGACTTAGAAAAGTGCAAAAATGTTATATAAAACGTTATTGGACCAAACTCAAGATTAACCTCTCATTTGTTTATTTTTTTTTATGTATTGTTGTTTTCCAGTGTTTAAACTTAAAGTAATGTCTTATTACCTATTAGTTAATTTAGAAATTCTCCAGTTTATATTTAACTTGAAAGTTAGAAGGATTTTTGTATTTTTTTAGTAGTAAAAATTTTTCTAATATCTCTTTTTGCGTAGAAAATTTTTAAAATTTGTGTGTTTCAAGTTTAAGCTATGGATATTTTTTTCTATTATTTTTGGAACATATTGTATATTTTAATCTATGCAGATCAATGATTACTTTACTGTTCAGTATTATTTATTTTTTTTTGTTTTTAATGAAATATATTTTGGACATTTATTAGCTATTTTCTCTATAACTATTTCTTGTTGGACATGATCTTTTTTTGTATATTAAATGGATAATTTAAAGCAGATTTTGATATTTATTCGCTTTTTGCGAATGATTTCGTAAAAAAACCCATTTAAAGTTTCACAATTTTGTCAATTTTTACTTTGTGAACGACGATTATGGCCAAACTATTAGACTTAGAGCAAAAACTCAAACACTATTGTAATCAGCGTAAAACGCAGAACTATGATCATTTTTTATAAGATAGGAAATTAAAAGTGCTTTCCAATGATACCAAATATAAGACAGTTATCGAAAAAAATTTCAAAGTTATTAGCTGATATTCGCCAAATTAAAATCTTCAAAATTCAAGAAAATGCACCTCTAGGGGTTGAAGAGACTTAGAAAAGTGCAAAAATGTTGTGTAAAACGTTATTGGGCCAAACCCAAAGTTAACTACCTCCCACTTTTTTGAAAAAATTTTTCAGGTCAGGGAATTTTAACAATATTTTTATTTAGGATCAAAGTTTATGCTTACTATTACTTTTCGGTCGCGGGCAAAGATTTCATAAATTTTGCTATTTTTAGAACCTTCGGAGTTGTTCTAAGATTATAATATTAATTTACAAGATTCAGAAAAATTACGAGATTCAAATAGTGGACGTCCCATCAAAAAAAATCTCTGTTTTTAGTCGACCAAAAAATATCAAACTATGGGATTTTCTTCTGCACTTATAACCCTACTGTATGACAATTTTGTTGAAGTTGAAAATCATAAAAAACAATTTAGGGGTGGGTTTTTCAAACCAAAGACAACCCTATCGTGTCACCCCTCATACATCTCAATTTAATGTGTAGATTTTAAAAATATATAATCAGGTAGGTAATTTTTTTCCTAAGCGAGATACGAAAATTGACATCGCCAAAATCAAATTTGACCATCCCATTTGATAGAACCTTTCATTGCGCATCTTTTTTTAGGTTCAAAGTTTTAAGTATAATTTTTTATTGCTTATAAACATATCTCGTAAACCCTCACTTTACGGCTTAAACTAAATATTTAGAATTTGAAAAATATTTATGGTTTTACTTTTTGCCAATCTCTAAGAAAATAAAACTCTCAACGCTAAAGAAACATATATTAGTTGCATGTTTACATGATTGTACTTAAATAATAAATAAATAGGGAATATTTGCACATTTTATTTACAATCAGACTGGAGGGAAGATTCTTTGGCTTCTAGACACATCACCGGAAAGCTATCATGAATAAATAGTCATCAAGATCATCTAAAATCACAATGTTATTAAATCAGCACAAAAAAGGCCCAACTTACTTCTTCTAAAGACAAAGGATTGCTCTTCATCTTCGTATCAATGTTATGGTACCTTTCATGGGCTAAATGTAACCGAACTAAGGCCATCACGTAGTTCTCTGTGGTCAAAATCCGATTTTTGGCAAACCTGAGAACCAAACATTCTAAAACTTTATTGCTAACTGTACACCCGGCCTCCCATAACAACGCCCGAAGATGATAACTGGAAGTTTTACCATTGCCATGACCTCGCTCAAATTTCTGGAAAGCGCACTGAAAGCATCAATGAATAACTGAAAACTGAAAACACATCACTCACTCTCCAAAACTGAAGCATATGCATCAACACAGGAATATCCATTAAATTGATTCGGCCACTAATATTGTAATCCCGCAACATAATCAAGCTTTTGCAAAGCTCCAAAGATGGTTTTTCGGACAAGTAGGATTTCCAATGGGCCCTCAGAATTTTTTGTAACTGACTAGCATCAACTTCTGGGGGGAATTTAGTGAGGAGTTTTGACAAAATTGACTTGCCTTCGGGCTAGAATTTTTTAATTATTTTTTACTAATTGTTGGTTTAAGTACCGTAACAGGTCCGGTTTCTTCCATAAATTCCGAAGATATGTTTCTGATGATCATATTGTCCTCGTTTACTTCCCAAATGTTGCTTTGTTCGTCGGTGAAAACCCTCAAGAGGAATTTTCCGTCCAAGTTGGGGATGTTGGTTTGGGGTACTACTATGTAGTCACCAGGGGGTAAAGTGAAGAAAGTTACGACTTCTCTAGCAACTGAGTGGTTTGTAACATCTAGGGGTTTCTAAAATTGATTAAGAGAATTAAAATTGTTTGGTTTTTTCAACACTAACTTGTTCTGAGACAAAATGAGGAGTTAGCCTTTGCATGGAGTGAGGTACTTCATAAACGGCAAACCCTATGGCATATAGAGGTTTTTTCTTCTTGCTATCTAGAACGTTGGTTTCGTAACTTTGTGTAATTGAGACTACCACGTGACATTTATTGCTTGAAGTTCTGGGTATTTGGACGTGAAATTGGGGATTCATTGAAGTTGTGTCAATGTAGGTAGGCCCGCCCCCTGCGTTATACCCCGCCCTCCATCTCCTCCTCGCCAACACCGCCCTCCATGGTTGTTTCGAGTGTAAGGCACTTTCCATCATCCAATCATCAGGGCCAATATGGACCAAATCCAATTGAGTGAAATGCTTGGAAAAGTCCTCAAACGACATCCAAAACTCCCCATCGTTGGCCACTCGCACACTTAACAACTCCTTATCTCTGGTAGATAACCCATCCCACTCCCATGACCGCTCACTCCACGCCCCCGTCCACTCCCCCCTCGCCCACGGGTTTCTCAGTCTTACCAATGGTGTCTCCCCTTGAGGCCCTCTCACTCTCGCCAACCCCGTCACACTATATGCATGTTGGGTGATTAACCCATTCCTCAACCTCAACTGTCTTTTATTCTCTTTTTCCTGAGTGACAGTTGCGATCAGTAGACTAGATCTCGGAACAGCGCTGTTTAACACTTGAAATGTCAAAAAACGGTCCTGATGAGTGAGGCCGAAACTTTGGACGATGCCACCGGTTAAGTCTTGAAGGGCTCGAGTGGTGGAACCTTGTGCCAGATTCTCGTAACAGCCGTAGAATCTGAAACCAAGAGAAGTCAATTGGGGTTAAATCGGGAGGGATTGGTACTTGGCGTAAGCTTTTTCGAGCAAAGCGGCCCAGAATTCGGTGGTGTTGGAGCAGTGCAAGTGGACGAGGCGGCCTTTGAAAGTGGGGAGTTTGTCGTCCACCACCACGTCCTTCCACTCGCCGAAGTGCCAAAAACGGAACCTGAAAAATGAGCTAAAATTAAAATATCACAACATTAACATTTCTGATTTTTTCTTTTTTTTCAGGGCTGAATTTATTTTTTGTCATCATTTTAACTTATCTTTCAATTAGTAGTTTATAATTTTTTATTTGTTTTGTTTTGCTTAGTTCTAATTATTATCTATTTCATTTTCATTGGAGAAATAAAAAAATTGATCCAGAATATCGAAAATTGCATATTGCAACAAACATTCGCCTGGGGATATTGTCACTTTCCTGTTTTTGTTTTTTGTCTGTTATTTTCTTGTTTAGTTTTTGTTTAAATATTTTTTGTATTTTTTTAACCATTATAGAAATCACTATTTTTGTCTTCAAAATTGAGATTAATATTAATATTTGGGCCGTTTTTGATTAAAATTTTGTTTGTTTCTTGAAATGTTTTTTTTTGGAAAATTCAAGACATCTGAAGCAAAACAATTATCAAATTTATTTATTATACTGGTAATAAAAGGAAAACATATTTTCTTAGGTCCTGTTCTTTCAAAGTTTTTTGTTATACTAGCCACAAGTTTCGGTTATTTTTAGATAGCCATTTTCAGATAATTCTCTTTTATTCATTCACTCCCGACTCCGCCCAATTCTACATTATTTTTTTAAAACGGTCAGAAGTGAATAAAACAAAATTGCCTAAAGATGGCATCTAAAA